CCATAAGGCGCCATACAGAACAGAAAACGGCGGTTATGTTTTTCTTTCTTTCTGGGGAGGGGGTCAAGGTCAGGTAAAGGGTTATGCTAATAAGTAAATGTCCCTGCACACAAGCAAGTTACTTCAAACAAGTGTAAATTAGAGGGCCATCCTAGTTTTCTTTAGCTCTTTAGCGAGAATAGAGGCGCCTAACAGTGATTAACAACCCTTGTTAGCTTGTTTTAGCACAACTTCTGTAGTTTGTAGAGGGCAACAATGGTTAACATATCAATTAGGTAAGGTTTTACAGTTCTTTACAGAGGAGAGCATTGCTTAACATATCAATTAAGTCGTCCAAAGGGAAAAGGAAAACACATACATAAGCCGTGTTTCAGGTTTTGTTATAATACACATATAATGAAGCTATTTTCTTAGAGTACAACAGTGACATGGATGGAGATGTCCTGTTTGTGCTCTAACTACTGGTTATTTTTCCCTTTTATCCTTTTCCTGAATCAGTCTTACAAGGACATTAATTTTATTAATCTACACAAAGAACTCACTTTTGGCTTCTCTGGCCCTCTTTATTATAATTTTTAATTTCAGTTGATGACTGCGTTCCTTCTTGAAGCTTTCTTTGGGTGCGCTCTGCTCTCTGACTTTCTGCCTGAGCTACTTAGCTCACTGGTCACCAGTTTTATCATGTGTAGAAGTGTTTACTCTGTGACTTGCCCCGTACTAGCTGCTTCCCACCGATGTTCATTGTCACTGTTAGCCACTGCCTCCCTGTTAGTCCTGAAGAACTGAACTTCCTGTCACTTCTGTTAGAAGTGTTTCAAAGAAGATCAGGATGGGGAAGAACCTGGAGGTGAATCACAGGACACAAGCCCCACCCAGTCCTCAGGCCTGAGGATGATGGACTAAGACGATTGAGTGGAATTAGGTCTCCTTATCACAAATGGACTATATCAACAGAAAACTGCTGAAGGAGATCAGGGAAGATGAACTTCACTATAACCTCCTTACTTAACAGTAGCCTCTGGGGTGTGGTGTGTGTGGGTGCCTATGGAATTTTTCTTTGCTCTTCCAGAGGAACTTTTCCTCATGTATCATAAGTGACTTTTCAGGTCAACATGCATAGAATAACAGATTTTAGAATCAGATTTTTAAAAATATTTTTTAAATTTTATTTTGAAGGTAGTAAAAATACAACAGAACAAGACAGACCAAAGCCAGTCGAGACAACGCAGTGAAATTGGTACAGAACTTCACAGCAGGATACTGGGATGGTAGTAATAGGTACTATGGTATATCTCATTATCTTCACAATAGTTGTCCAGTCAATTAGGTAGAGCAAAATCAAACCAAAAACAGAACATTATAAAACCAACTGAGAGTATTGAATAGAGCAAAAGAAACAACAAAACAGTGAAAACAACCTTTGCCTTCAAACAGAAGAAGATAGAAGGAAATCCCCCATATTTGCTGTATTGTATATGGCCATTCTCCCAAGAGATGCTCAGACCTCTGTCTCCAGTTGCTAATGGTGGAGGGGAGATGTTTGATTCTTAGCCCGTGCACCTGAGGGCTCCCGGGAGCCACTGACTGGTTCTCCTCCTGGCTCACACCAGGGGCGCTTACCAAGAGGGTGAGTGAATTGCTTCCTTGTGCAGTCGCCTAAGTTCCACCATGGCCGGATCTCGGGAGCCACTGGTTCTCCTCTGTTTGTTTTTGTAGTGTCATGTTTTTGAGGCCTTTTGTCTACACCTTAACAATCTGTTCACAGGAAACTTTTTTTTTTTCCTGTTGAGACACATCTTGACCACACTGTTGTTGATATTCAGTAGAAAGTAAGGTGCATTTAACTTGTATGTGGTTGAATCATGGCTTTGGTTTATTTCGTGATCCAGTGGGAAGGAGAAAATTGTGACTTCGGGCAGTAGGGTGGTAACATGCCTCTTACTATTTATTGCACATGGAGCTTTCTGGGATGTTTTATGGATCAGAGCCTGTACTCAGCTTCCTTGTAGCAGGGGAGGAGAATGCACCTGGGGAAGGCATCTGTCGACAGCCCACTTTTGGGGCTCTGTGAAACTAGCATGTTGTAATCCATGTGACAAGACCTCTAGGGTTTGGGCCAGATGCAGGCTAGTGGTAACTCACTGCAATCTGTTCCCACTTCTGTACTTTAAAAATTTCATTAGAAGGGAGAGATAATAGCTCAATGGTACACTGACAACCCTGGCGTTTTGAAATGGTTCCATATTCCAAGAGGTGTTTGGATCTCACTTGTGTTTTGAGCATGGTTGGCCTTGCGTGCTGTGGCTGTGGTGATTTGAGACTCTGTGCATCACTGGTTTATTACAGGGGACTTTTGTCACCCTTCTAGGCATCCCCACAGCAAAGCAGATGTTGGCTTTTCCGCCCACTGTGTGGCAGGTGTTTCAGCAAGTGTGAGAAATGTGCCCAAACGTGTACTGCTGGGAGAACCACTGCTTCTGCCAGCCCTGGGACGTGTCCCCTGCAGGGGTGTGGCCTTGCATCCTAAACATGCCCACCACACCTCCTTGGTGGGTAGAGCCTCCTTCAGGAATATAATTAAGAACTGATGAGAGTTTGGCTGCAGTGTGAAGGATTATGCCTGGCATGTTGTGTTGGGAACAAAGGGCACTCAGTGTGATTTGCCACAAGAGGCTGCCATGGGGTAGGCTGGGTGTGGAGGCCAAAAACAAACCTGGCTCGCTTATCCTGGCCCAAGGCCAGGGCCTCTGACTCCCCGGCAAACTTTGTTGCTGTTGCTAAGTACACTCAGCTGTTGGCCTCAGTAGATCTTTGGACTCATCCCACTTCCTGGAGGTTTAGGTCCATGGTGGAGGGAGTGAAGGAGTGGTGAGGTGCTTGTGATGAGTGGTGAGGCCCCTCTGTTACCTGGGAACCATATGTGAGGTGTTGATTCTTACAGGCATGAGGGGGAAAGACTGCAGCCTATGGGACAGAGTGAAAGCATGGGACCTGGTAGAGGACCTCCAGGTGTGCTCCGGAGACCTCACCAGATGTGGGGTTCTTGAATGCCGAGGCAGGTCAAGGCACTGTGCTGTGGTGGTGCAGAGCTTGTACCTGTGTGGACCCCGACAATGGCTCTTCCTGAGTTTCGTGGCTGCCTTGTCCGCTTGGGTCCTCAGGTGCATCTGTTCTGGGTGGCTGTGGACAGCAGTGTGCTGCTCTGATGCTTGGTTTCTGAACGTTTCACCGGCCCTCAAATCCTACAAAAGTTTCATTTTTATATGTGTAGTTCTCTGAAACCTGTAATCTTACACCAATAAATGGTAGTAGCTTTACTGATCAGTTTTCACCTCCTTTTCTAAGCTACTTTAGATGATATTTTGAAAAGATTCACTTTTAAAAATTTTATTTTAAAGAGGATAAAACAGAATAAAGCCAATCAAAACAAAACAGTGTAAGAGATACAGGACTTCAAAACTTGTGAAACCAACAATAGTTACCATAATGCCTTTTGATGTCTTCAAAACAGCTGCAGATAACTTCAGACATAGTAAAAGTCAAACAGAACAGAACAGAACAGAATAGAACAGAGCAGAATAAAAACAATAAAAACAAAACAATGAATGCAATGAAGGACTTCAAAACAAGCCTATAGTAAATCCAAAATTGCTACCATAGTGTATCTTGTTATCTTTGAAATAGCTGATGCTGCCATCAAATTTGGCATAATCAAACAAAACAAAGGAGAATAAAACCCAACCAAAAAAAAATGATGGAAACCATATTGGACTTCAAAACAAGACCATAGAGAATCAACAATGGCTGCAACCTCAGAAGGAGATCCCCCCTAGATGCCACACTGTGTACCATTATCCTCGGAACCCATGGTCAGCCCACTGGCCCTAGACCTGCAATGTTAGTGAAACAACAAAGCACCGCAGGCTTCCAAGTATATTTCACCTCCATAGTTATCATCACAGTCTGTGCTTCTCTGAATAAGCTGGTCGCTTATGGTGGGGGTGAGGTGGGATGGGAGTGGGGTGCGAGGATGGTATTTTTTGTTTGCTACTCCGTGCACTGGAAGGGGCTGGGTTCTGGCTGTTTCCAGTCTGGTACTGGCCCACACAAGGCTCTGGTGCCCAGATTGGGCTTGCTTCCTCTTGAATAGATTCATTTTAAAACTTCCTTTTACACAAAGCTTTCTGCACCTGTCTTTCTTGAGCTCCTACTTTGTCTGACACTGTTCTGGGGCTAGACTTTTGAGCTGAGAAACCTGTGGTGTGGCTCTCTCCTGCACAAGTGCTTAGTATAAGCAAGAGATGCACACAGTCAGATACTTGCATAAATTGGCCTGGGCCTGGAGGCAGACACAAAGGCTTAGGCATAGATATAGGCCTGATCTCACCCACTGCCTATTTTTATATAGCTGTTTTAGTAGGCATTCCATCACTATAACAAAATACCCAAGATCATCAACTTAAAAAGAGAAGTGGTTTAGCTTAGCTCATGGTTTAGGAGGGTGAGTCCATGGTTGGCACTGTTGTTGTGTGGCTCTGGTGAGGTAGGCATCATGGTAGGAGTGTGCAGTGCTCACCTCATTGTGAACCAGAGAACAAAGGAGGGGCTGCAGGATGTGCAAAGGCTAAAACATTTACTCTTGGACTTTTATGGAAATAGTTTGCTGACTACTGGTGCAAACACCTGTAGAAGGGCTGGGAAGGAGGGATGCAAGGAGAGAGGGGACTGTGTCCTGGGTGGCCATGTGGGGAGCTAGGGAAGGGGCTCGGGTTGGGCGTGGAGGGAAGGTGTCACTTAGAAGAGCGGAGTGTGCTTTCTAGATGGTGCATTCAAAGGTCCTGGTTTCGGGATGTGGAGCTTCCAGGGGCTGAAAAGAGCTGGTGTGGCAGGGAATGAGATGGGAGAGGAGACCCTGACAGTGGTTCCAGGGATGGAGACCAGGGTGGACCTGGTGGAGACTCTACCTGAAAGGCACTGACTCCATTGCTCTTTTCTTTCAGGTAAAACCTGTTTTCCAGTGTGTTGGTATCCTGTGGGGTGAAGGATCTGGGAGCCGCCTTCCTTCTGAAGCGTGGAGCCCAAAACAAACACTATTTGTGACACTCTGGCTCCACTGTGTGTGTCTGTGTCCAGCGTCTGCTCATAATGTCACTGTCAAGCTTGCTTCCAAATTACCCTCGGAGAGTCGCCTCTGGTGCGCTTGGGACGCTCTTTTCAAATGTCACCTCTGCCTCTTCCTCCTCTGAGAGGCCTTTTGCCTTACCAAGAGGATAAGGGTAGAAACATACTGATTTAAAAAGAAGTTTTTAAAGCAACTGCCGATGCCAGCCAACGATGATTAAGAGGATGAAGAATCTACAAGGCGTCTGCAGGGTCCTCAGCTGTGGGTGCAGAATCCCGCTGTGGGTTCTTTGGGGGCCACATCAGGATGTCACCAGCCTTTGCACCTCCCTCGAGTGCCGGCCTTGCCTCTGGGAGGAAGTGTGGCTGCTCCGGAAGCCCTCACATGACAGCGCCTTTCTGTCTCTTTTCTTCTTTTTTCTTTCTTTAAAGGGGTCAGCAGAAATAGGCATTGTTAGTTTACAGAGAATTTCAAACATCAGGGAAAAAAAAGGTACGTGTGCATGAGTGTGCAAGGGTGCATATACTCAAGTGTGCATGGGTACAAGTGTGCATGTGTGTGCGAGTGTGAGTGCAGGAGTGCGTTCCTAGGGAATAATTGCTTCTCTCAGTGAGTAGACCGCACTAGACAGCTTGGGATAGCAACACTTTTTTTCTTTTGTGCTTTTTTAAAAAAATGTTTCTCTGCCCTGTCAACAGTTCTATGTTGTTGGTCTTAAAAATATAATTAAAGAAATAACTGTGGTGATTTAAATGAGTGGTGATTTGAATGGCTAAGAAACAGGGCCCCACGAGGGACGCTAGGAGTCTGGCTGGGCTGGGCTGGGCAGGGCTCAGGGCCTGCTCACTGCAGCGGGGTGGGTGCGGGGCTTCTCTGGGAGCTGGTGGGATGACAGTGTGGCCCATTGACACCTGTCTCCTGGAAACTGGGCCCCAGGGAGCGGTCAGGTTGATACTGGCCTCCGTTTAACTCGGCCCCCTTATTTCTACAACTGAGGTGCCTCTATCCCAGTCTAATAGCAGGACCTTGGAGCCCTGGGATTCTGTTCTTTCTGGAAAGAGGTTGTTTTTTCTTTCCCACTTCTTTTTTTGAGACAGCTTTCTGTTACGTAGCCCAGGCTGGTCTCAAGCTCTAGATTTTCCTGCCTCAGCCTCCTGAGTGCTGGGATTAAAGATGTGTACCACTACGCCTTGTTTACTGGTTTTCAGTTTTTCATCTCTTTTTTTTCCTTTCCTTTTTGTATTGCTCTGCGGCTCGCGTGTCTGCATTTGTCGTCCTGCTCCACTGTGCTGAGTGAGCACGCTAGCCTCCTGGTCACACGTTTCCAGGCTCTGTTATTTTCTAAGATGGGCTGTGGGAGTGGGAGGGGTGGAAAGGGGCCACCTGGCTCCAGGGCCTGCTGGACGTGGAGTCATGAGGGGGGCTGACCTCTCCGAAACCGTGAGGGGAGGGGAGTGTGGTTCCTGAGAGCAGCACTGCCTAGGCCGTCTGCTGTCACAGCTGCGTGTGGCACTGGCCACTCCTGTTCCTTTCCCTTTATGCTTTGTTGACTTTCCATGTCCCTGCTCTTTCTGTTTGCTTTGGCACGGGGCCTCTTTCTTTTCCCCCTCTGCAGTGATGACTGAGGAAGCTGGGTCACCCCGCAGCTATGTGACCTCTTAGCCTTTGAACGAGGTCCGCTGACACTTTGGCGTTTCCTGAGACCAGGCGCTGTGAGGTGGTGGGGAACGCTGGTTTTTCTGCCTGCTGCACAAACACTGGCCCTGCCTGTCAGGGATGCGCCACTGGTCCTGGTAGGAGTGGCTGGTGACAGTGACCTGCCAAGTCCTCAGTATTGCAGAAATTTGAATAAAGACCCTCCAGGGTGAACCATGTGGGTGCTGGGTTTGGGTGCTTTCTGAGACAGAGGCTGGCAAGTACCTTTCTGGCATTAAGCGTGTGAGCCCTGGTCATTTAGAAAAGGGCTTGGGAGTGGCGTGGTGCTGGAGGAAATGCATGGGTTTTAATACAGGTGTGTGAGTTTATGGGTCTTTTCCTGGAAGCTGACTCTGGGATCTGAAGACACACATCCCTTATTGTGTTTGGGGGTGTCTTGGGGTACCCAGTCATGTCAGAAGCTGCTGGCTTATCTTTGCCTCATACTGGGCTTTTGTCCAGGCAGGGTTAACAAGTAAGCAAGAAAAAGCCAGAAAGAGAAGCTCACCTGCTTCCACTGAAGCCCCTGGTGCACCCCTGACGTCACCAGGAAGTCGAGGTGTGTTCTCCTCAGCATTCTCTATACAAAGCAACTGGGGTCCTTTGTGACTGCACTTTCTCCAAACACAACTATGGCATGGGGGTGCTCAGGGGTGGGTTTCCCACCATCCGAGTCCCCCAGCACCTTCTGCCGGGGCTGCTTCCTGCTTTACCACGGAGGATCCAGCCTGAGGGTGTGCAGGAAGTGGGCGGTGTGGGCTGGTCCTACAGCTTGGCCTTCAGTTCTGGGGGTTCTGCTGGGGTTCTGCTCTCTACCATGCCCCTTCTACACAAAGAAAACCATGGAAGAGGTTAGAAGAGGGCATTGTTAGAAAATGACGCCTTGTAAGGACGTGGGTGCACTGTCCTCAAAAGGTACAACAATGATGTAAGTCTAATTTGTGTCCCGTGACTGCCCATTTCTGTGAGGTTCTTGGGTTTGGAGACACTGTTAGTGGGATCAGAGATCAACAACCCAGAAGAGCAGGGTCCCAGAGCAGGGTGTGGGGTGCACCAGTGCCCCAAATCTGCTGGTGAGACTGGCTACCAAAGCCATCTCCAGAGAGTGGCACCTCGGTGTCACCACCCCCAGCCAGGACAGAGGGAAGAGGAGGGAAGCGGGAGGGCAGGGCTGTGCTGCAAGCATCAGCAGAGAGGGTTGTGGCTGGGCTTAGAGGACAGTGGCCGACCAGGAAGGGTCTGGAGGTGATCCCATGCCAACACCCTGTGGCAAGCCCTCCTGTCACCATCTCCCTGCATTCTCCCTGTAGGCTGCTTTGTGAATTTGCGCTCCTAGAACTGCTTAGCTTTTAACCCCGCACAGCTTCCCGGGTCTCTGGAGGGTGTTTGGGTTAAGTTTGTTCTTATACAAATAAAAGATTAGTGTGTGTGTATTGGGTGGGGGGAAGCAGCTCTGGGAAGGAGGAGTCTTCTCAGGAGCTAGCAGTGCAGAAAAGGGTCTGCTCCATGCCCATGGTGCCGGAATTCCTGGGGCTCCTATTTACCAGAAAATCCAGGAGCACTTGATGGGCGTGTAGGCGGCACAGATGATTCGGGACAATGGGGTTTATTTTCTGTTTTGATGAGAACCAAGTAGATGTGAGCGCTTCATGGCGCTGCTATGGGCCGCACCCTGTGTCACTGCCTCGGTATCCAGAGTCCCTACCTGGGTGTAATTCTCCTTGGTGTTCTTGCTAGTCTTATTTACTTTTTAAATTTAATTTTTTAAAAAAAGTTCTTGTTAGTTTTAGCAGGGGCCTTATTGCTAAGCTCTGTTTTCCAGGGATTTTTTTTTAAAAGAGTAAAACAATAAAAACAATAATACAGAATTTCAAAGCAAGGTAATAGATTAACAATCATTAATATATTGTGTACTGTTATCTCCAAAGTAGTTGCTCAGATTACAGGATGTAGTCGTGAAACATTAATCAAACAAAATAAGCACAAATCATTCTTTTCATCCAACTAAGAGAAATATAGAAGTATAATTATCTTAGGTATCTTGTGTGTGTATATATATATATATATATATATATATATGTATTTTTTTTTCTTCTTTTCTCTTCCTTTCCCTCATCCCAGTTGCTATTTTGTTTTGAGCAGTTTCTTCCTCTTTCACAAGATCTACTGTACATTTTAGATCAGGGGTGGTTTTTTTTTTGATGGGAACAGGTTTTGTGGCTGGGAATGCAGTGAGCTAATGAGTTTCTGTTGGCGAAGCAGGAGGCCTTCTGGTAATCTTGGACCAGGACAGCTCAGCCCCTTCAGCAGACTCGGAAATGGCCATGGAAACCCCCCCAAGCCCCGCCTGAACCGTGAGGGAAGCAGGTTTCCCAGAGCGGAAGAGGTCAAAACGCAAACAGAGGCTGCGGATGACCTGGGTGACTTCACCCAGTCACGCGGAGCTGCCTCACCCGAGTTATGAGGATACTGTGCTGCTTTCCAAACTACTCAGCACTGAGTGTACAGTTGCAAGAAGGACAGGTCTGGCATACAGAGGTTGTACGAAGTGCCGAGTTGGAGACTGAGCATCACCTACTATGAAAGCTTGAAGCAGAAAATTCCAAGTTAAAAGTTACAACAGAAAAACAAGCAAAGTCAACAGCTTCCGAAACACCTGCTGAACCTGAGCAGAGCGACTATTTGGAAGATGACAATATGCAGTGTGACAACCATTGTGAAATGCCCATCATCGTGTTTTCAAATCTTATATTGCTATTGTTTTTTTGATTGATTTTTATGCCTTTTCTCTTTAAAATAAAAATTAAAAAAAGAATGGGTTTGGAGACACTGTTAGTGGGATCAGAGATCAACAACCCAGAAGAGCAGGGTCCCAGGGCAGGGTGTGGGGTGCACCAGTGCCCCAAACCTGCTGGTGAGACTGGCTACCAAAGCCATCTCCAGAGAGTGGCACCTCGGTGTCACCACCCCCAGCCAGGACAGAGGGAAGAGGAGGGAAGCGGGAGGGATGCCTGTTGAGTGTATAGAGTTATTGTTTCTGAAAACTATAACATTGTTTAAAACTAGAGAAACATAAAAAGATGGAAGAAAGAGGTAGCAGACCTCCAATGTCACACAGAACAGAACACACTGACTGTAATGAAATGCAACAGTGTAAATGGGAGATTGAAAAAGAGCAAAATAAGATTTAATAGAGACATAAAACAAGTTAATCAGACACAAGCAGACTGACTGTAATGAAGTGCAACAGTGTAAATGGGAGATTGAAAAAAGAGCAAAATAAGATTTAATAGAGACATAAAACAAGTTAATCAGACACAAGCAGAGATAAGTCAGACGGAAGTGAAAACTAAGTATCTGGAAATGAACTGTCTGAAATGAAATCTCAAGAAGAACCTTTTTATGGTACCAGGAGTTGAACTCAGTACCTTGTGCTTGCCAGGCAGGCACTGTGCCACTGAGCTGTATCCCTGGCCTCAAGAAGAATTTTATAAAGTACAACGGCATGTGTATCAAGAAACCTGTCTGAAAGGTGTCTAAATCACAAGATCATTGTGAGATCAACTGAAAAACCAGCCAATCAGAGGCTGGAGGAGGCTGGTAGAGAACTCGTGGAGAAACAGTGGAATAGATTATGGTATGTGACCTGTTCCGGAGTTCCCTTGTGTTAGCATTTGTGACAGTAGTTTTGTACTTGTCTTTGTTACTTTCTTGCTGCTGGGACAAAAATATCCCACACCCACAAGGTAAAGGAGGAAAGGTTTAATTTAGTTTACAATTTGTAGAGTTTTCAGTACATAGTTGGCTGGCTCCAGGGTGGCACGTGGCAGAGGAGAAATAGTTCATGGCATGGCAGGCAGGGAGCAGCAAGACTTTTTTTTTAATTTTTATTATTTTGAAGGTAGTAAAATACAGCAGAACAAGACAGAACAAAGCCAAATGAGACGATGCAGCGAAACTGGTACAGAATGTCACAGCAGGTTACCGGGATAACAGTAATAGTACATCTTGTTATCTTCACAATAGTTGTTCTTTCAATCAGGTATAGCAAAATCGAA